AAAAATGAGAGTGTAGTACTAATACTAGTGAGTGAAGGAATAATAAGAGATTAGGATGGGATTGAATTGATTAATCCAATTTGCAGTATTCCAATATTCCATACACAAATGGATGCAGATTTTTTTCATTAATTTGAGAATGCAGCCAAGCCTACAGCTTTATTGATTACACTCACTATGTCTAAGCGTGCACATCAAAACCCTCATCCTTATCTTGTTATCTGCATACATGCGTACGTGTTGGTTTATATTATCGTGTTGGTTTATGCTATCAGATAATAAATTATATTATTTATAACTTATGAATAATATAATTTTTTTTATACACTACACATATTGATTAATAATTTTTTTATCAAGAAATTGATTAATAATATTAATCTTAACCTAGAATTTATAAGGAATAATACTATTTTTAAATTATAAATATCATGATTCCTTTAAGATCTCTTGTGAGTTTTTCTTTAATTTTTTCTCAAACCCATGCGAAAGGCATGGGTACTTTCCTTGTTTTTTTTAAGATTAAAGTGTATTTTTGTCTGGAAAGTATACATAGATGCGTTATAGGTATTTTAAAGAAAATTATGGCACATTAATAATGTTGCATATAATTTTTTTTCCTTTCAAAACTATTGTTATACGGCTAGATTTTAACAATGTGACATCAACATTTGGGTTACAAAAGATGCCATGACTTGGATTAATGGTTGACTTAACATTGACTATTAAAAATAAAAAGATAATATCGCATCAATTTTGATTATTATGTATTAAATTGCTCTCTAAATTTTTTTAAATGCTTATAACTCCTTCGCAAGAATACTTTTAAAACAAAAATGCATTTTAACCGTTTTTTGACACATAATTGCATAAGTTTAAGTCATTTGAATTTTTGATTAATCCTCTTCAAGTTTATAAATATTAAATAGATAGATAAAAAAATGCTTAAACTTATCAATTAGATAAATTTTGTATCAACACATCAATGTAAGCAATATGGATATAAAATATAAGATTTATAATAAAACCCTCCAATATCTTTGTTTCGTTTCGTATGGGGAAACTTAATTTATTATTTTTTTAACAACACTTAATTTATTTTTCCAATGCAAGTTTTAGAATCTGTTTAGTTGGGAGGAGGGATTTTGCTTCTCTCCCTTTATTTAGTTTGCAATGACTAATATACTTATTATTTTAATTGCTACCTACTCTTCATCTTTTTAACCAAATTTAGCAATAATAGATTTAACAATAATAATAATTACTCTATATATTTATAATTATATGTTAAAAACATTCATAACTATATTTTATAAAGAAAAATAATTATAATAATATAAGGATAAAGTTGTTTATATATTATTATTTTTTCTCCCCTCACCTCTTAAATCAAGTAAGGTAATATTAAAATCCTTTTCTCTCTTTCCCTCGGACCAATACATTGTTAATATTTTGGTCATAGCTCTTCAACATTCAATACTATGAAGTATCAATTGATCCCAATTGAAATATGGATTGGTATAAATAGGGGCAATTTTTTATTATGATTCTTTCTATATATATATATATATAAAGTCAAACATTTAATATTGCTTAAGCAACCCTATAGATGTTAAAAAAAATAAAAATATCCAAATTGCATTAAACAATAACTACCAACATTACTTGCGCAGTTGAGCTATAATTGACTCCCATATCAAAGGCAAACGCGACTCCAATGCGCACGCGCACTTTATTCATTTGTGGGCCCACTCGAAGGATGTGGATCCTTTATTAGGTTCTCTTGTTCATTGTTTGAATGATGCTCCATTTGCACCCTCCCCCTTGTGTCTTTAATGTCTTCAATATATATGGCAAAGTTCTAAAGTTTTATTTAGTATGGATTCTGGAATATAGGGTAAAGATGTAATGGCCAACCTCTGGTCCTATGCAAATTTTGAAGGAAAAATGATAGATAGGTTTCAAGGAGATTAATTAATTTAGATTAAGTTCTAATCAATTTGAAAGTGTTAAACTTCATAAATTTATAAATCTGACTTTTAATTTTATAGTTTCATTAGTTATTTCAAATTAAAAGTAAATTTATTCTTCAATCATGTTAAAGTTTAAAAAATAAATTATAAATTTATCATAATAAAATTATAAAATTAAAAGCCAAACTTACAAATTCATGAAGTTTTACATTTTGAAATTGATTGGGATTTAATTTGAATTAATTTGTTCCCTTGTGACCTATATGTCATTCTCCCAATTTTTAATTAATTCCTAGACACATTTTATTATGATAATTAATTTTAATGAAAGGCAAAATTGACAAATCAATCATTTTTTTGAAGTTTAAAAATACTATTTATCATTTCTTAAAAACAACAAAATTAATTAACTTTATCATATAATTAGAAGGAAAAATTGATCTTTTAGTCCCCAACTTTTAATTTATTTGTAACTCAATCCTTCAACTATGACTCGCTATAACTCAGTCCCTCAACTATGACTCGTCTATAACTCAGTCCCTCAACTTTTGAATCACTTACAAATTAGTCTTTGAACTTTTGTTAATTTTTTTTCATGTTAGCTTATATTTTACATTAATGAACAAGATGAGAATATTTTAGAATAATATGTGAGCATTTTTCTTATTCCTCTTATTTGATAAAAAAATTTTAAAAAAATTTAAAAATAAGGATCGAATTATAGATGAATCAAAAGTTGAGGAATGAGTTGCAGTGAGTTATAATTAAAGTATTGAGTCACAGCGAGTTATAATTAAAGAATTGAGTTACAAGTAAGTTAAAAGTTAAATGATTAAAAAATTAATTTTTTCTAATTAAAACTAGAGGGAGTAGATACAAACACCCCCTCTTCGGGTCTTTATTATAAAGTACTTTATAAAAAAGATAAATACTTCATATACATAATTGTCAGCTAATTTATGTTTTCAAAAAAATTAGTTAAAATTTTAATTTTTTTAAAAAAATCACATATTTTTAATCATACTTTTGAGTGAAATAAATATAATATTTGATTAATTTAAAATATTTATATTAATTATTTGAGTAAAATATAATAAAGTACACATATAATTGAAAAAATATATATAACATACACAATGCCCCGTTTTGAAATCGAACCAAACTCTTAAAAATGCTCTATATAAGTATTAATTTATTTTTTTCAAGATACAATCGCCATCTAAAATTATTAACTATTTTCTGAGAATCCAAACAGCAGATAAGCCAAGAAAATCTTGCGCATTTTTATGTTCAGCTTGAAAATCCGAGAATGTTTGGCCTTTTGAGTTGTGAGAGAGAGAGACTGTGTTCCGCTCATCGTCTTTTGCGATTCCCTGATCGTCCTTCTCTTCCTGCACCTCATTTCGTCCAAACGATGCCTTTGGCGCATCTTGAATTCGGCGTAAATTAGCACATCGGTTAGCTAGAAACCAAAATTATAACTGAGCCCCACAATAAATAAGGACTGAGAAGGAAAGGGAGTAAGATCAAAGAAGCCCACCAAAAGAAAAGAACGAACAAAGAAAACTCACTGAATCCTTTTTTCTTTTTTTTTGGAATTAAAGGGCAGGCGCTAACACTTGAAATTACAAGTGGAATCGAATCCGGTCGTCCTAAATCGCAACATATTCTCAAGGAAGATTTGATGTCCAAAATATAAAACACTATAAAAAAAATTAAGATTTCTTAAAATAAATTTATTTTAATATCGCAATTTTTTTATTTAATTTTTGTTTATATCTATTTTTTAATATATTAAATGAAAAGTATTTTTAAAATTTTATATTTTTTTATAAAATAAGATTATGAAGTATGTTTGATAAAATTTATTAATATGTCATATTTTGTCTAAAATATTATATAATTTAAGATGGGTATTTTTTTTCCCCACCTTCTTTTAAAACATTAGTTTAAATATGGGAAAACCATTTAAAATTTTATACTATGAAATATATTTTTTCAGTTATTAACATTTTTATTCATTTAGACCTTCACAATAATTTTAAAATTTGAAGATTTTAATATTAAATTAATTGATTTATAATCTTGAGGCATAAATTTTACTCTCTCCATTCAAAGATATAAGGCATTTTTTTTATAGATTAGATGTTAAAAATGTATGATATTTTTATTTTTTTTAAAATGTAATCATTACATTTTTTTTTCAAAAGCACTCCTGATAAATAAATCACTTACATTTATTTTAAGATAAAATATCTTATTAAATAGGGATACATATGATAAGATGGTGCTAATTTAAAGATAAATAACTATTTTTTTAAATATAAGATTTGATTAAAAATATTTTATATTCTTTAATGAAAAGAGTACTAATTACTGGTTAGAAATAGAGTCCATAGGTCAATTACAAAAATCCAGATTATTTTATTAATGATTAATGTTCATATAAATTTTTTATTTTTCATTTTAATTTTAAAATCAATTTAAATTACGATAACATATTAATTTCAACTCCAAAAAAGTCTTGAACAACCAAAAAAAAAAATGAAGTTAAAGTGATATTGGGTCTCTAATTTAAGAAATGAGTTATATATTGATATTGATTTTTTTTATTATAATTGAAATTGCTATTTTAATTATTAAAAAGTAAATTAAGAAAAGTATCACGCTTGGGATGAGGTTGAATTTTTTATATGGGGAAAAATAAAATATATTTTTTTTCATTTTTCAGGACAAAAAATGTCTAAAAAGATAATACAACCCACCATAAAAAAGAAAAGATAATATTGGGAAAGTTGGCCGGGGACTTTCAGTGGCTTGTCGGACTGGTTGCCCACAAAAAGATTCACCGAAATTAACAACACATTACACGTTCTTCAACTCAGACAATTTACAAAGCAAGAATAAAGCATAAACACATATCCTTTTCTATTTTCCCTTCTGCAAATTTCAGTTCCTAAAATAAATAAATAATATTTTTAAATAGCTTGTATAGTGCTGATACTATATTAATACAGGAACATTTAACGATAACCCAAAAGCATAGAGAAGCTTCTCTCTATGATCATCAACGTATCTTTTTTCCACTGTTGAATCCTGATTCTTCTTCAATCGCAGCTTCTACCTCTCTCCCTTTGTCTCTCTTCATTCCTTATTCTTTCCCATTTTCCTGTTTTCTGAGAATAACTAACCTTGACTTCATGTCGGTACCCGAACAAGACTACGTAAGCTTATCAGAGGCTCCGTCTCCATCAATGGAAAGCTCAGACAAGTTTTCTCAGAGAAGAAACGGCTTGAATTTCAAGGCAACTGAACTAAGGCTCGGGTTGCCCGGGTCGGAGTCACCCGAGAGCGACTGGGATTCGGGGGATAAGAATGAGTATCCGTTAGGCATACTCAAGAGTCTTGTGTCTGGGGCAAAGAGGGGCTTCTCAGACGCCATTGATAGCGGTTCTGGGAAGTGGGTTCTCTCTGGAAAAGGTGGTTCTGATATGGTTTTGGGTAAAGATTGTGGCTTGTTCTCTCCCAGAGGTGCTCACACTGGGAAGACCCCTGTCGGGTCTGATTCCGGCAACCATCAAACGGGTTTGGGTCCCTCCGTTGTGAAAGATAGTATTCCTCAGCCCACAAAGCCTTTGCATGAGAAAAAGCCCCAGTTTCCAGCTCCTGCTGCTAAGTATCATCATCTTCCTTTGATCTCACCCTTCTCCTTTCTTCCTCTTCACACACACACACACACATCTTGGGGTGTGTTTTGCTAGTTGTTGCTGCTTCTGTATTGTGATTTTTTTTTTTTCAATTGTCTTGTTCCTGTTTGAAAATTTCTTCATGTGAGTTTGCTGACAAAATGGTAGAACTTAGAACCAAGAAGGGAACTATATTTAGTTTGAAGATTTTTTTTTTTTTAATACTTCTGAAAAAGAGGAAAAAACTTTGTTTCAGTGACTTGAAAACTAGTTCATGGGAAATTGTGGGATCTCTTATCTTTTCCTGTTGCTAAATTATATATTCTTGTCTTGGTCTCTAATGTCATGCCGATAGTGTTAATCATCTGATAGTTTTCTCCCTTTGGGTTCCATAGATTTTCTTCTTCATCTTGCTTGTTTATGATTTACTGTTGCATATGAGTCCAGATTGAACTCTTCCAAGTATCTGGGGTCTTCAAAATTTTATCTGACTTGTTTTGCTATGCCTAAGGAGATTTTCCTTTCCTCCCTCCAAGTATAAGCTGTGAAATTATAATCATTGGCCTGGTCAGAAAGTTTGTCTGAATTGAGGTTTCTTGTACAAGGACTGCTACAAAGTGTGTAAATTCTTGATTAATACTATTTTTAAATTATAAATATCATGATTCCTTTAAGATCTCTTGTGAGTTTTTATTTAATTTTCCCCCCCTCAAACCATATGAAAGGCATGGATACTTGCCTTTTTTTTAGATGAAAGTGTATTTTTGTTTCAAAAGTATACATAAATACTCCCTCTGTTTAAAAATGTAAGACATTTTTTGAAAAGTTAGATATTAAAAAATGTAAGGTATTTTTAATCTTTTGAGGTGTAATCATTGCCTTTTTTTCAAAAGTGACTCTATTGATAATGATTTTATATTTATTGTAGGGTGTTTAATAGAAGTAAATATAAAAAGGTAGGGTTAGTTGAAAAGTAGGTAACTACTTTATTAGGAGATGGGATTCATTTAAAAATATCTTATATTTTTAACAGAAAGAGTAGGTTATAGGTGTTTTAAAGAAAATCATGGAACATTAATAATGTTGCATATAATTTTTTTTCAAAACTAGTGTAACGCAGCTAGATTTTAATAATCAATGTGAAGTCAACATTTGGGTTACAAAAGTTGCCATGACTTGTATTAATGGTTGACTTAACGTTGACTATTAAAAATAAAAAGATAATATTGCATCAATTTTGAACATTATGTACTAAATTGCTCTCTGCAATTTTTTTTTTTTAAATTCTTATAACTCCTTTGCAAGAATACTTTTAGAACAAAATGCATTTGATTTTTTTATTTTTTTTTTGACACATAACTGTGTGAGTATTGGTTATTTGAAGTTTTGACTTATTCTCTTCAACTTTATAAATCTTAAATAGATAGATAAAAAATATGCTTAAACTTATCATTTAGATAAATTTTGTACCAATAATGTAAGCAATGTGGATATAAAATATAAGATTTATAATAAAACCCTCCAATCTCTTTGTTTTGTATGGAGTTACTTAATTTATTATTATTTTTTCCAACACTTAATTTATTATTCAAACGCAGTTTTATGCATTGTTTATATTTTGATATTACTCTTCAACATTCAATACTATGAAGTATCAATTGATCCCAATTGAAATATTGATGGGTATAAATAGGGGCAATTCTTTAATCATTGGCCTAGTCAGTACGTTTATGTCTGAATTGAGGTTTCTTGTACAAGGACTGCTACAAAGTGTGTAAGTTCTTGATTATGTGAATCAGAGCACAGGTTGTGGGATGGCCACCAATCCGATCTTTTCGGAAGAACTCGATGGCTTCTCAGCCTCTAAAGAATGGTGGTGATGCAGAATCAGGCAAGAATGGATGTCTTTATGTAAAAGTGAGCATGGATGGTGCTCCATACTTGAGGAAGGTAGATCTCAACAACTTTGGCTCTTACAAGGAACTTTCTTCTGCTCTGGAAAAGATGTTCAGTGGCTTTACAATGAGTGAGTCCCTTTAGCTTCTTCCTTCTTTGTTTTTCTTTTTTGCTTTTTCTTTTTTTCTCATTATTACATATACTCTGTTCCTCAGCAGTCTGCTTGTCCTATGTCAAAGATTGGAAATCTAAGTCAACCCGGCTGATTGAACCATTAAACCAATATCTTGATCAATTTAATAAAATGCTTTGTATATTATCAGTCTGATCATGGTTCAACTACGGTTTTAATCATTAACTCTTGAACTAGTATCTTGACTGGTTCATTAATTGGTCCGATTATCAATATCTTAATAAAATAATTTGGATAGAGAAATGTAATGGGGAAAAACTTTACTCTAATTCCAACTGTCTTATAATTAGTTCAAAAGAGAGTTGAGGAAGATGTAAAAAGAGGCCAAGAAGAACAGCTGAGGAACTTATAGAACAGAATGATATATCTGAAGAGTTAGTTGTTAACAGAGTATACAGTTGAGGCTGAGAAGTTGTTAACAGAGTATACAATGTAATAAGTCTTGTTGTACGTATTCTGTACCAAAGGTGTTATCTTACTATATTAGTTGCATTTGATGATGTGTGATGCTTGTGTTGGTTATTCTGATAATGTTTGCTATCGTCTTCAATGAATTTAGGTCAATGCAGCTCTCACGGGGTTTCGGGCCGGGACAATATGAGTGAGAGTAGGTTGATGGATCTGCTTAATGGTTCAGAACATGTGCTCACATATGAAGACAAGGATGGTGATTGGATGCTAGTTGGTGATGTTCCTTGGGGGTAAGAGCCAAAGCTTCTTCAGATTAAAGTCTTTTATTCTTCGAATCTGATAGAGAGAAATTGCCTCATCTTTACTTCAGGATGTTCACTGAATCTTGCAAGAGGATGAGGATAATGAAGAGTTCTGAAGCCATTGGGTTAGGTAGGGCCATCATTTCTTATAAAATTTAATCCTTTGGACTTTTATTTATATCAATTTTTTTTTAAAAAAAACCAGAATCTCAAGTCTGACAGAACTAGGATGCATTATGCTAATTTAACGCAAGAAAACTCCGATTCATAAGCCATGAATAGTGTGACTCCTTTTTTAATATTTGCATGAGTTTTGATGGCTAGTTAAATTTAAAAGTCTTGTATTATTTAGAGAAACTAATACATGTGTAAATTGGTTTGCTCTTCATATTCTTAATAACTATCTAGATATTAAGATTTTTAACGATCTATCCCTAAGGTGCTGGCACCTTACGAGTTTAGACATGACATGATTATTGTTTTTTACACAATTCTCTATGGCCTTGTATTAAAAAAAAACTGTATTATTAGATGAGTTTTAATTGGTGATCTTACTCGTTATCTGATCGGTGCAGCACCAAGAGCGATGGAGAAGTGCAAAAGTCGGAATTAGGGGAATGAAAAGTCAGATAGATTGAAGCATATCATCATAATATATAAGAGGTGGGTTTAGTGCAAGTGCTGGAACTGGAAGAGATTAAAATGGTTAAGATGAGCCTTGTCTGTGTTATATGTATAATTTGACGAGAGATTTGAGTGCTTCAAACATATTTTTATTAATAGTTGTTGTAGATGGTTTAAGGTTTCTTGGTTTGTGGTAACCTCTTCATTTTAATTCATGTTGTTGCTGAGTTATTCAGGTTAAGGCTATGTTGCTTTGAAAAATTTTGTATCTTTTTCCTAATCTCCCTCCCTCCGTCCCTCCCTCTCTCTCACACACAAGGTTGATGTAAGACCAACAGGTCGGATCTAGCATAATAATTCCTCATAATGTGATAAATTAATATTCAAATCTTTATTAAGAGAGGTATTTATATTTAGTGTCTCGATTGTGTCTAAAATATGATTATTTTTAATAGGATGATATATATGAAAAAAAAATGTTGATGTAAGAAGTAAGATTGCATTTAATTTTATGTGGTAAAGAAAAAACAAAGTTGCTTAACTCTTGATAATTGATATATCCTCTGAGCAAAGGTAAAAGGACTTCTTGAATTATTCAAATGTGATGAAGCAGTTTTAATTTTGTTTTTTTTTTGTAATTTAAATTATTAATTGAGTTGATAATTGAAATATATATTTATTTTACATTGATTTGTTCAAATTAATTTAAAAAATAAAATAAAATATTCAGATTAGGTATGGATGGCATGAAAAAGATGGTTAGTACCATTTATTTACGTATGTAAGGAATCAAAATATTTTGAAGGAAAAATGACAAATAAGTATCTCTAAAATAGCGAAATGACTACTTAGTCCTATAAAAAGTGATAATGCCTTTTAAGCTCTAAGGGTTTTAATTGTTATTAAAGTTTTTGATGAAATAACAAAAATATTTCTTAATTTAAAAACGTGAAGAAAAATGAGGATAGAAAGTTTTGACAATTTAAACTACTTCAATCATCTATTAAACCAACTTTGTAGATTTCAAAACTAAAGTTGTGAATGAAAAGACTTTGCTAGACTTTGCTGATTGAAGAAAAATGGTAAGAGAAAGTTGTGAATATCTAAAACACTTTTGTCATTTACTGAACTAGAATTATGAATTTCAAAACTAAAGTTATGAATGAAAAAAAACTTTGTTACACTTTTTTAATTAAGGGTATTTTTGTCATTTCATCAATAACTTTAATGACAATTAGGTCCCTTCAAACTCAGAAGGCATTATCACATTTCACGGGAATAAATTGTCATTTTTCCATTTCAAAATGGATTTATTTGTTATTCTCCCTATTTTGAATAACTACATTTTTAACACCTATTATGGTGGATTGCCAATTCATTCAATGATCTGCATCTCTAATGATAATCTAATAATAAGGTAGTATTTGGATTAATAAATTTGGATTATAAATTTAAAATTTCATTTAAAATTTAGTATTTAATTTTTTTTATATATATGGATGGTATAAAAAAAATTTCAAATACAAAGACAAACAGACATACATACATACATACATACATCCATATATATAAGAGGATTAGAGTAGCTATTATTTCAAACAAAAGTTAATGACCTAATTTACTTTTAAATTTTTTAAAGAGTGCTGGATACCTTACGGTGAATGATGATGCAATATTCTCTTTTAATTTCAAAATTATTAAATTGAAACTAAACCCAATAAGATTTACATATGAAGTTCTACCTACTTAATTCATGGGAAACCTTTTATATCTTATTTTTTAAACTCCAAACATTCTATTTATTTTTGGCATAGCTATTTATATGTCCTAGTATTATACATTATAAAATATAGGACAAATGAGCAAATTATCCCCTAAACTTTATATCAAGTAGCATCATAAGCCTTGAATTATTTATTGTATAAGTCCAATCCATGGGAGCCCATGTGTAACACTTGCCCTAAGTCTTAACAAAACCACACCACACTTAAATAAACTAAGTGTGTTTAAAGAGATGATCCTAAAGCCAACTTAGTAGACAAATCATTTAAATCACTAAACAAATTACACAATAGCAAAACACATATTTAAATTCTCTTAGAAAAGTCTAGAGGTTTAATACATAACACATTGAAGCAAATGCTGTTATGATAGCCCTCCGAGGCAAAATTTTAGGAGACATCATTTCGCCATCTGACCTCCGATCAAAGTGATTTCAAATTCCACACATCACTTTTAATGAGTACTAGTAGTGTTTTAAATTTTAAAAAGATCCAACGGTTGAATTAAAATTTGTGCGTGTTGCAACATTAATTGTTGTTATGATAACTTTATTTTGCTATCATGACAGGACTTCTAAACCAACTTTTAAGGTGCACCATTTCTTTGTTTGATGTATGATTGAGGTGATTTTAAAGCTCACCTAAAGCTTATAAAAATTTTTACCTGTGATCCCAATTTCAAGGAAATCTAATGGTCAAATTGAGATTTAAACACCCAAATGCAAAAGTATAGCTTTTTGATAAAAACCATTTTTTAAATTGTCCAAATGTCATAATAATGGTCATAAACTTATAGGAGTATTTTGGACACATCAAATAAGACTAGGTGTTGGATTGGGAAGGGGTGCAACAGAAGAATGATTTAAAATCTATAAACCTCAATTGCGATCGCAAACCGAACAAAGTCATTTAAGTTAAGATGGATAGAAAAAACACCTTTTGTATGTTGAACTTTCGAACTTCTCTTATGAGTTTAGATCTTAGGAGCATACAACATAGATTGACTCTATCTATCGATATCCACACGAATAGCTTTTAATAGGAACAGTATGCTAGCGCTCCCAATGTTTGTCTGTGCAAAAGCATTGGAAGATTTGATCTTGTGGCTTCAGTCAGATGTTCCTTTTCTTTTTTCTATGGTATATTCATAGCTCTGAAAATTTTTTCCGTTAAGAGAATGTTTTCCACATAGAAAACTCACCTTTATCTATCTTATATAGATTAGGGTTTTTTTTCCTTCCCTTATAAGGCAACAAAAATTTAATTTAATTTACTTTATAAATTAAATCTATGATATCATATCTTATTTAAATTTATCTTATTAATTTAAATTATAGAATTGATATGATATCCTCTCATGTCATGTTAGTTATTAAATTTAATTTATCATATAAAAATAAATTTAAAACTAATACAATATAATATATATATTAGATGTGTGTGTGCGTGCACACAAATATATATATATATATATATATTTCATATATATACATATATATAATATTATATCTTGACTTTTATATATATTTATTAGATAAATATTCAAATACACACACACACATAAAATTCGTTTACCCTAGATAAAGCATTACATTCATTGAATTTAGACGCATTATGTAACACGCTCAAATTTACAAACTGAATTTTTTGCAAATTATTAAAACCATTATCATGGTAGAAAATTTTCTTACCATGATACATCCAAGACAATATACCACAGGTCTTAAAATATCTCAAAAAGCAATTAGAACCATGAGGGACAGACAGGATCCTCATGTCATGATATTCAAATCAGATCATAAATCAAGAGGGACAGACATAATCCTCTTGGTCATATAAATACTTTTAATAAAAAGGATTAGAGTTTACATGCTTCACAAAAAGATATGTCCTAAGTTGGCACAAGATACATTGTATAATCTAAAATAAGAGGCAACGTAAAAGATGGTGTCTCATACACCATAGTTACACATCTGGTGCTTTCTCGGCCGGACTCGCTCCTGTAAAAATATTAACCACGGGGAATGAGACTTAAAAGTCCCAGTAACCAAAAATTAATATGTAATGATGCATGCGGATGTAACTAATCATGCGATTGCTAAGTGGGCACACAAAACATTTAACCGAACAATACTTTCAAACAAACCGAACAAGTATTTAATTTGCATGACTGCACCTTATATCCTCCTTTCACCATGCTCGGACGCCAAATCACCCGGCCAAAGGTGAGTTGGACCAAGCGACACGCCACTCATTGGGTCCAATGAGGGCTTACCACGTGGTAATAATTAACCGAACAGAAATTCCCATTAACACCATACATTAAAATACCCTGACAAGTCATGCATCATTCAAATATCCAAACAGGAATATATCCGAACAATAATATCTCATCATGATAAATAAAAAATAAATTTTTAACCCACTTGGCAATAATTTCAAACAAGTATATACAGTATTTATTTTCAATAATTCATAATTTTTCCAAACAACAAAACAACACATAACCATTCACAAACACACTCATCACAACACATTAATAATGGTTACCTTGTGTCTTGAATAACAAGTTCCCCTTCACAACTCCTTTTTCACCACTATCTTTGTCAATATAATCTACATAATTATTTCACAATACTATATATTAATTTTACATTAAAATAAATAACTCTAATTTAAAGAGTTAGAAAGTCTTAAATCTATAGTCCATATTAACACTAATTTAAGATTTATGCCTCATTTAACTTCCCAAATTCTTTTCTAAAATTCTCGTACCCTAATGAACTATTTTTTTTATCCTCAATTCACTTCTAGTATCACAATTTCATCCTTCTACATTCTAAAAATTCATCCAAAAATAAATTAAAAATTTTAGAATTATCCTGAAGCCTCAAATCACCTTTCTATAACCTCAAAAATACCTATTCATACTTAAATAAATATTTAATAATCATAGGTTTATCCCTACGTCTCAGATTCCACATAAATTCAACCATATAGATCTAGATTTTAACTCAAAAATTCTTAAACATGAGTTTCAACCTCAAGAAAATATTCTATAATATTTATTATATCCCTAAGAATTTTAACCTATATTTTTAATCCATCATATCATCAGATTAACTATCCTATAGAAAAATCCTAATCAAAATATTTACTCTATCCTACAAAATAATCATATCACTAGAAAGCTAATATTATTTAGAAAATAACTATAAAATTAATTTTGTAATTAAATAAATTTTTAAATGCTAATCTAAACAGGAAAGTTAGAACATACCTGAAGAAAAAGAAAATAATCCCCCTTATGAGAAAACGCCGAGCAACGTGAGAGGAAGAGAGAAAAATAATATAAAAATGGGATTGTGAGTCCCAAAATTATATTAAAAAAAACTATAGGTTTGAATTTAATTATTCAAACCTTTGGGCCAAAAGTTGCAATTTTCTCTAAATTGCATCTTAGCCTCTCATGCTTCCTAATGCACACACCCCCTCCTTTTTATACATGAAGGCACCTCTTCTCTTCCCTCATCTAACCAATGTGGGACTTAGAAACAACAACCTTCCACCCCCTTTTTTTTTGTTCCTTCTACCTTCTCTTTTTTTTTTCAACAC